TTCTTACTGAACCTACTATTTGTAAATATTGTAGTGCAAAAAAATTTCAAAGAGAAAGTAAGGGATTTCGTTGTTCTAGTGGAAAGGTTAAATTGTGTATGCATCCTGTACCCAATGAATTGCATCAATTATTTACATCGAATTTACCCAAAGCGTTGCATTTCAAAAAAATTGCAAGAACTTATAACAATCATTTTACGTTTACATCATTTGGTGTCAATTATGACAAGGATTTATGTAAGATGAATAAAAGAATTTATACATTTAGAGTTTAGGGATAATTTTACCACTACATAAACCCATTGTTACCATCTACTAATAATCCAACTTATTTACAATTATACTTTTATGATACTGATAATGTATTGCATAATCGATTGAACATTTCAGAAAAATTTTGTGAACTAACTTTACAAATGTCGATCGATATCTTAAAAAATAATCCTTATTCTAGGTTTTTCCGCTCTTTAAGTGTTTTGGACAATTTACATGATTGTCAAACAAAAATAAAATGCAATCCTGGTCTAGATCAAACAGTTTAAAACACACCAGTTGCTTCGCAAGTAGCTGCTGTTTGTGTTGATGAAGATCCATCTACGAACAGTAAAGATCGTGATATAACTATTTATGGTCATTCGGCACTTCACACAAAGTCCACTATCATTTTGGTTGTTATGACCATCTTCAATACCAGTTGCTTTTTCCTTATGGTAAATTTGGATGGCATGAGGGTATTTCTGGATTGAATAAAGAGATGTTTTAACATTCTTCTGCAGAAGAGAATATTTTAAATATCAACAATATGAATTCTGCAAGTGGATTAATTGAAAGTGAAAGTTAAGGTTAATAATATCAATCATTTTTTTTAGTTTATATTTGTCCCAATATGGAGCTTAATTGTTGTTTATATTTTTCTGTCATGTAGTTATGAAGGGAAACAAAAGGTCATGTATATCTTGTCGAAAGTATTATTGCTATAAATTAAAGGTACGTGACTGAGATAATTGTATCTTGCTTCATGTTGGTAGGCTTTTACAGCAATATGGTGTTGATATGTACGTAAAAATTGAAACTGCTAAGTTAGATTATTTTCTTAATAATCAAAAGCAAATACGAGCCGAACTATACCAAGGAATTGTTGATAGTGTTGAAATAGGTGAAATTAGAGGTCATAAAATTGGTCGAATGAGTATTTTACCGTCATCATTTACAGGAGGACCTAGGGATAATAAAAAGAGATATATGGATGCAATGACACTTGTTCAAAGATATGGTAAATCAGATGTATTCTTGACAATAACTTGTAATCCTAATTGGCCTGAAATAAAACAAGAACTCTGATATAATGATGAAAAAAAATAGAGCTGACTTGTTTGCAAAAAGATATTATTTACAATCCTTCTTTTCAGTTATGAAGCTTGTTTTGAATGAAGTTGAGGGCTCACTTAAGGCTTATAGCTCATAAATGGAAATCTCTTTGATACCTCTGTTACATTTTCCCCCAAAAAAAAAAGCAGTAGTCTTTAAAGTTTAAACACTAATGATCTTTTTTATGGAGAGGATTGAAGGAAGAAGCTTGCTGAAGGTTTGAAGCGTTTGGCCAAGTCAGATCCTATGGTTGTCTGTACCATTGAGAAGTCTGGTGAGCATATTATTGCTGGTGCTGGAGAACTCCACTTTGAGATATGCTTGAAGGACTTGCAAGAAGATTTCATGGGTGGTGCTGAAATTATAAAATCAGATCTAATTGTATCCTTTCGTGAGACTGTTCTTGAGAGGAGTCTGGTGAGCATATTATTTGCCTGTTATCGAATCATTTGGTTTCTTAAGTACCTTGAGAGCCTCAACTTATGGACAAGCCTTTCCCCATTGTGTGTTTGATCTTTGAGACATGATGTCATCTGATCCATTGGAAGTAGGGTCGCAGGCTGCACAGCTCATGACTGATATCCGAAAGAGGAAGGGTTTTTGAAGGAGCAGATGACACCATTCTCTGAGTACGAGGATAGGCTGTGAGTCAATAATGGCTTAAACCTTTCTGGATTTTTTCCCTCTGGGCGCTGTAAAATTTACCTAGAAAAGTACAATTAAAAGTATAAACACGATCATTCACCCGAAACTATCTATTTGCTTGTTATCAAATTCAAAGAAGTTTATTTCTGATGACTTTCAATGATTTGCAATTGCTTGCTTTTATGCAACTTCAAGTGGGGGAAATGCCTAGGCGCCTAGCTGAATCTGTGGCTTGGTAAACTCTTAAGTCTTACCTGGTTTGCTGTACTTAATGCTATGGCTGAGTATCTTAACAAA